AGTCTATTTTCTAAGTCTGAAACATTGTTTTTGTTTTAACTTAGATTAGTACATTAGCCTTCTGAAAAACTGTTTTTTTTTTATAGCCAGAGTAAGAGCTCTTTTTTTTTTTTTTTTTTTTTACAGTGTTCTGTGTGGCAATAAGGCGATAAGAATAATTGTCTTGATGCCAAAAAGAGCCCAATAGATTTTACTTTCACAAGTACGGCTATCGCCATAGTGTTCCGCTTGATTTATGCATATAGATAGCTTTATTATAAATCATGTAGAGAGTATTACAGATTATATGGACACTGAAATGTGAGTAGAATGGAAAGGAAAAACAGAAAAAAGGAGTAAAGATGAAAGAAAGATGAGATAAAAGGGAGATAACGATACAACTTCTTCATTCTGCTTCATCACCTCACAACAAAGTAAGAGTTCTGAGACAGGGAGTGATTTTACACAAGGAAATGAAAAGTTAATGCTCATGTCCTAAGAACATCTTTACATGAATTTTGCAGCTCAGATGCCAGCTGAAGTTTACACTATGTAAATTTTCACCAAAATCCTGCAAATGTTGCAGTATCTGTCACCTTTCTTTGTCAGTAAGTGATATTTAAAGCAGTCAAAGCAGTCTTAGCATTGATTTAGTAGACTATAAAATATATTAATAATTTCTTGACCATTTATTTTTAATTTATTTGCAAGTCAAAATAATACGGGATATATCCATGAAATCTTAAGCTCTGTGTTTAATAAATATATATATTGGAAGTCATTTTTTTTTATCTCTTTTTGACGTTATGTGGTAACATGCACCTTGCAGCCCAGCAACGATGGACTGCAAGGTGCATGCAAGAACTATGCTGTTCTGACCTCTTGTGGTTACAATAATGTACTGCAACAATACCTGATTTAATAACAAAGCAATTTATTTTTTAAAGACTTAAGTTTGTTTCCTGTTTGATTATGAGGTAATAAAGTTAACAGCTGTCATATGACTTGTTCAATGTCTTCTGCAAGCAACATACTATGGGCAGTCATAAATGATTAATGCTTTGACAAATGTTGTATATAAACATTAAGTATTATATTTTTTAAACAAAATATCAGAACTCTGTGTATTTTATAACTAAAGCTAGAATATAAAAAGTAAACCACTTTTTATATTTGTGGGATGTACGGTTTGGTGCCTTAGAGTATAACAAAATTGCATTCTAATGCCTGAAAAAAAACATATTCCTTTCTTTTTATTGAAACAGAAATTTCTAGCTGGTTGCAGTAATACCTTTCACATGCTCAAAAGTTAAATAAAAGTAAAGCTTTAAGAAGAGTGACTGGTGATAACAAGTTATCACTAATTATACAATGCATGACTTTGAGATTCGAAAACCTGCGCTGAAAAATGTGCATGTCAGTTATATACACACATGGACAAAATTCTTTGCTTCACTCATTTAAAGAAAACAAAACCAACAAACAAAACACCCGCAATGGTCACAAAACACCTGGAGTCTGACAAAAGTAAGAATGAATAAAAAATTATCCAAAAAACAACTAATCAAAGTTAGACCATGTGTCAGTAGATTGATTTAAAAAAATAAACTTCTGAAACAGATAAAAACAATGGTACCCCTTGAAAAAAATAAATAACATGACCAAAAGGAAATGTTAATTCGATGTGTATCCACTAATTAGCAACAACTGTCTATCAGCTAGAATACTGACCCTCAAAGGCCTTACTCTGCATTCAAAATGTCCACATCCACTCATTTTATTTCCCTAAATTAGATGCACTGTTTGAGGTTGTTAGCTGAATAAAAACACCTGTCCACCCCATATATTAAGAAAGAATCCACTACTAACATGGTCAAGACCAAAGAGCTGTCCAAAGACACTAGAAACCAAATTATACACCTCCACAAAGCTGGAAAGGGCTACGGGGAAATTGGCAAGCAGCTCGGTGTAAAGAGGTCCACTGTTGGAGCAATCATTAGAAAGTGGAAGAAGTTGAACATTATTGTCAATCTCCCTCGGTCTGGGGCTCCATAGAAAGATCTCACCTCTTGGGGTCTCAGTGATCCCAAGGAAGGAGAAAATCAGCCCAGAACTACACCGGAGGAGCTGGTCAAGAGCAGGACCACCGTTTCCATGGTTACTGTTGGTAATGCACTAAGAAATCATGGTTTGAAATCATGCATGGCATGTAAGGTTCCCCTGCTTAAACCAGCACATGTCAATTCCCATCGTAAGATTGCCAATGATCATTTGGATGATCCAGAGGAGTCATGGGAGAAAGTCATGTGGTCAGATGAGACCAAATTAGAACTTGTTGGTCATAATTCCACTAATTCTACTGTTTGGAGGAAGAAGAATGATGAGTACCATCCCAAGAACACCATCACTACTTTGAAGCATGGGGATGGTAGCATCATGCTTTGGGGGTGTTTTTCTGTACATGGGACAGGGTGACTGCACTGAATTAAGGAGGGGATGACCGGGGCCATGTATTGTTAGATTTTGGGGGGAAACTTCCTTCCCTAAGTTAGAGCATTGAATATGGGTCGAAGCTGGGTTTTCCAAGATGTCTGGACTGAAGCACTCAGCCATTATAACCAAGGAGGGGCTGGCTCTCTAAGAAGCATATCAGGGTTCTGGCGTGTCCTAGCCAGTCTCCACCTAAGCCCAACAGAGCTGTTTCCCAGCGACAGCCCAGAAACCTAACTGATCTAGAGAAGATCTGTGTGGAGGAGTGGGCCAAAATCCCCCCTGTGGTGTGTGCAAACAAGCTAAAAAAATACAGGAGACATTTGACCTCTGTAATTGCAAACAAAGGCTTCTGTACAGAATGTTAAGATTGTTTTTCTCAGATATTTAAATACTTATTTAAAGCTGTATCACACAAATAAATAGTTAAAAAATCACACATTGTGATTTCCGTTTTTTTTTTTTTTTGTTAGATTATGTCTCTCACAGAGGACATGCACCTACGATGACAATTTAAGACCCCTCCATGATTTCTAAGTGGGAGAACTTGTAAAATAGCAGGGTGTTTAAAGGCTTATTTTCCTCATTGTAGATAAAGAGAGAGAGAGAAAACAATGGTAGTCACTGCTCTGTCTGTCAACATGGTGTATATTGCACTTAGCATGGACCAGAGGAAGGAAAGAGTTGTCTCTGGAAATTAGAAATACTTTTATAGACAAGTAAAAGCTATAAGACCATCCCCATGCAGCTTGTAGACTGCAGAAAAAAAATGCTGAATCTGCAGATGAGATTCTGAAGAGGCCATGATAGGTCAGTTCATCTACCTAGAAAGTACTTTGCTTTGCATGTGGCCACTGTCATGAATCTTTTCCTTCTTTAGTCTTTTGTTTTCAAGTTTTATTAATTCAATTCAGTTTATTTATATAGCACCAATTCACAACACATGTCATCTCAAGGCACTTCACCAGATCATAGAGTCAAATTGATTGAAAGTTTTCTATCTAAGGAAAGCCAGTTGATTGCATTGACTCATTGACTCAAATGCAATCCCCCATTATAATAATACTTGGTTTAATTTTGGTGTTAGTTTAGTTATATGGCCATTTGTTTGTCAAACGAAATTTAACGCAAAATTCAAGACACAACCAGCAGTGCATGTGGAAAAGCATAAGTCTATATTTTTGCATGAATCGCATGAAGCACTTCCTATTTTCAGTTTAAAATAAAGGCATACTATTGTGAGAAAAGTGTTAAACCACCCAAGGTGCTGTTAAACATGAATTTTATTTGCACTGCAAATATATTACCCATAAACTATAGAACATACTAAAAGTTTGTATTCATAAAGATAAATTACACCAGGATAAGGCAATTACATATTAACCAGTCAGGTATGACATGGCAATAGATAATAAGTGGGACAAAGTTCTTGATTGGTACCAGCTTGTAGCAGTGCACCTCGAATGATTAATACATTTATTGCAAAATGTCTGCAAATAATGACTAGTATATTTACTTTCATGATACATTGGTGTAAATTTAACAATTGTTGTGTATGGTCTAGTATATTTTCTAAGGTAATAAAGCAGAAAAACCTGACCAGTCTGCCTGACAGCCAAAAACAACACAGTAAAACTGAAGAAACTTTTACCCAGTAAGCCATGGGTGCATAGGCCAAACATGGGAGGAGCAGTGACGGCAGTGCATTTGTATCATCCTATTAATATGCAGGACACATCAACAGGCTACTGCTGATTTCATAACAACTGAACAAACTGGACGTGTATGCTGTTGAAGAAGAAAAAACATGGCAATTTTACTGGGAAGTTACAGTTTACCCTTTCTTGGAGTTAGCGTTTTCATCGCAGCTCTGACCTACATTACCTACAACCTGCTGAGCAGTCATTTCCATAAATGGTTCAAGATGAAATCTATTCCTGGGACAGGTTCAGCATACCCCTTTATTGGAGATGCACTGTTGTTCAAAACCAATGCAGGAGGTAGGAAAAGCACTCTTTAATTAGCAAACTCTAATATTGAGAAATATAAGGTGTCTTTTTTTTATAACAAACTCTCTTTTTGTCTTGTTTCAGAATTCTTCAATCAAATTGTTAACTTTACATATGAGTTCAGAGATGCACCATTGTTTAATATCTGGTTTGGACCAATTCCATTGGTTGTCCTGTTTCATGCTGAAACAGTTGAGGTATGTTCCCAGAGAAATTCATTACACAGGTGCATCATCATGAATTACATAACCGTAAAAAAAAATTGATGCTAAAATTTAGATATTACATACCGTGCTTTCCAAAAGTATTCAACCACCTTGAACTTTTGGACCTTTTGTCAAATTTCAGGGCTTCAAACATAATGATATGAAATTCTAATTTTTTTCAAGATTCAACGACAAGTGGGACACTTTCATGAAGTAGAACGAAACTTATTGGATAGTTAAAATTTTTTAAGAAATAAAAAACAACAATGGGGTGTGCAAAATGAATCGACCCCTTACTTTCGGTGCAGCAAACTCTCTCCAGAGGTACAGTGAGGATCTCTGAATGATCCAATGTTGACCAAAATGACTGATGATAAGAAATGGAATCCACCTCTGTGTAATCAAATCCCTGTATATGTGCACCTGCTCTGTGATAGTCTCAGAAGTCTGCAGAAAGCATCATGAAGAACAAGGAACACACTAGGCAGGTTCCAAGATTGGATACAAAAAGATTTCACAAACCTTAAACATCCCAAGAAGCACTGTGCAAGCAGTTAATATTTAAATGGAAGGAATCTCAGACCACTGCAAATCTACGAAGACTCAACTGTCCCTTTAAATTTTCAGCTCAAACAAGGAGAGCACTGATCATAGAAGCAGCAAAGAGGCCCATGATCAGTCAGGATGAATTATAGAGTTTCACAGTTTAGGTGGGAAACTCTGTCAATAGGACAACATTCAGTTGTTTACTGCACAAATCTGGCGTTTATGGATGAAACCCATGTCTTAGATATATCCATACAAAGTCTTATTTAAAGTTTGCCACAAGCCACCCGGGAGAAACATCACACAAGTGGAAGAAAATACTCTAGTAGGATGAAACCAAAATCTAACTTTTCGACAACAATTCAAAAATTTTGTTTGGCAATTCATCCGTGAAGTGAGAACCTCCCCCAAAGTGCCAGAAACCAGCTAATGTGAGCATTTGCCCACTGAAGTCGGCCATGACGATAAACTAGAGTCAGGTGGAGACCCTGATGAGGGCAAGGAGCATACAGATGAGCAATCCTGAGATGATTTATCACAGTTTGTGGAGGAATTTCTTGGTAATGTAAACCGATTGTTTCAGTAGCAGTCAGAGTGGCTGGTCATAGACTATCATGGAGGTGAACATGCTGGATGTGGATGTCATGGGTGGGTGTGGTTACACATGGTCTGCGGTTGTGAGTTTGGTTGGATGTGCTGCCAAAATCTCTCAAACGCCTCTGCAGACGGCTTATGATTGAGAAATAAACATTCAATACATGAGCAACAGCTCTGGTGTACATTCCTGCTGCAAGCATGCCAATTGTACACTCTCTCAAATCCTTCAACATTTGTGGCATTGTGCTGTGTGATAAAACTGCACTATTCAGAGTGGCCTTTTACAGTGGGGAAGTCTAAGGCACACCTGTGCACTAATCCTGGTGTCTAATCAGCATCTTGATATGGCACACATGTGAGGTGGGCTGGATAATCTCAACAAAGGAAAAGTGCTCACTATCACAGATTTAGACTGGTTTGTGAACAATATGTGAGGGAAACGGTTTTATTGTGTATGAGGAAAAAGTTTTAGATCTTTGAGTTCATCTTATAAAAAAATGGGAGCAAAGCCATAGGTTTTATTTGTTGCTGAGTGTAGCATCTGTCTGCTCTGCTACACCAAGCACAACACTGGGCAGAGTAGACCTTCTCTGGGTCAGTTCTTGGTCTGCAATTCTGCAAAATTGCAAAATTCTGCAAAAAGGGAGATTGCATGAAAAATATTCATATGAGCAGTTTTATTTAAAAGACATACATGTAAACTAATCTCTACATGCATTGATTTTAAACGTTTATTGCTTGCAGATTAAATACCAAGGCCTTACTAGCAGCGGCTATTAACTTTAGCAAAATATTGTTATTGGAGAGTTGGGCGACAATGTAAAAAGCATTCATCACTCTACGTTTATTGTATTCAGTCAGCAGTGAGCCCCTCTCTTCTCCAAAGCACTGACAGGTCAGACTAAGCAGTAAATCATGCCTCCAGTCAGAGAGAAAGGACTTTTCTGTGTTCCTGAAGACTCTGGCGACAGTCTGAAAGCACACATCCCTCTTAGTTTACATTTTTCAGTATAGTTGAGGACTGAGGCAAGCTCCTACAAAGCACAGACAGTCAGAAGGATAAGAGGGACTCCCACATTTCCACATTAAAACATCACATAATGTTCAAAGCTTCAACTGGTATTCCCCTACAAGGCAGGATGGAAATATAATATTTAAAGTATTTTTTCTTGAAATTGTCATTTAAAACTTTATTTGAAACTGCACTAAGCTCGATCCTCCCTGCAGTAATTCTTAAACAGCTTCATTCTCATAACATGCAAAACAGGACGGATTTAAGTAGTTTTGGTTCAGGTAAAATATCATTGTAATAATTGAAATTATTCTATATAGTTCATCTGTAGTTTTAAACATATCAAGAGTGTTTTTAATCAATTTCTGTCTTGCTGATGTTTATATTCCTCTCTCCTAAGGTTGGATCACAACATTACCAAATAGGCAAATTAGGTGATGATGTAATCTAGCGACTTCTGCTGACTTTAAGACAGCCAATAAGGATCCCAGCTGAAGAAGCACACACCTTTCTCAATTTCCCCCCAAAACTGCTTTATAAAGGACAATACAGTATACAGCCTTCACAGGTTTGAATACCTGTATTATACTACCTGCTTATATACCAGTAGGCATTGCAAGGGCTATTTATCACATTAAAATGACGTGAGCGAGACAAGTTCTATTTATTTTGTTTTTTATCATGGAATAAACAAATTTTAGCCATAATGTGAACAGGCAGGACACACTCTCAAAGGTGTTTTTCATTTCAATCCAGCAGTGGTCCCCCTTCAAAACTACACCAAATTTATCCCACATTTTGTCAAGCTTTGACTAGTTGTGTCAAAGAGGTTTATTGGTTAAAATATCATCTTCAAATTTGCCATCACTATTTCTCTTCCAGGGCTAGAACTAACTACCTTAAATTAAGTCCTACCTCCTGTTCCTTGTTCCCATCCCATCATCTTTTGTTGGTGTCCACAGTAAGAACACTGTCCATGGTTGAAAAGGAGCGCCTGCTGTGCTGAATCCGGAGAGCCGCCATTGTTATGGACGTCATTACGCGGCATACACATGAATGATGATGGTAAAATTTGGATTGGAGTGTCACAAAATAATGCATTTTTGCATTTTTGTTAGACTCCACAAGGTAATGTAGGGTGTGCCTATTATTCTTGCTACACAAAGGACAACCTTATAGTTCCATGCAGGTGCTAGGACTGTCAGGAGGATTAGATGCTAACTGTAAGGTCGCTACGAAGCATACTGCTTTCTGGTCCTTGCTCCTTACTGCCACCACTATTCAATTCATTTAGATAAATAATAGTTACAATGAATTGGATGCTGTGAGCCTTCAGCAGGCTATGAGAGGTTCTAACATCCATTTCAATTTAATTTGTTTATTGTTGAACAAATATGCTTAAAAAAGGAAAGAAACACAAGACCTTTGAACCAGTTTTACACTGCTGATGTATGTTCAGTTGCAGTGGCAGCAACATTTACTCCCAGCCTGTTCCTTATCTAAATGCGTAACATTGTCTTAATAAATGTCTCTCAAGCTTTCTGCCCAACTTACGGTAATCATGTTTCTGCAGAGCATAATTGAACTCTGTATTAAGTAGAGCTCTGAGATATGGTTCATAAAGTCATTTATAGCAAATGTAGTTGATTAGTGCTACCTCTGTGATTTACAATTTCCTCTTATTCAAACTGTCTTTTGTAGAAAGTTCTGAGTAACCCTGTTCACCTCGACAAGGCTTTTCCATACAAATTCCTCCATCCTTGGCTTGGAACAGGCCTTTTAACCAGGTACAGATATTTATTTCTTTGACTTGAATAAATCTTTTTAGCAGAAAAAAATATATATATAAATAATGATTTGGATGGATTGAATATGATATCAAAATAACAACACCTCATTAGCCTGATTTGAGATCCACATCGACATTGAAAAACACAAGAGACAAATTAAAAAAGCAGACCTATAAAAAAGCTAAAGATATTTGTAAATCATGTTATAAAGTCAGTTGTTTTGATCAGAAAAGTCATTGCAACTTATTTTGTTAGCTTTTGAGTAAACATTGTCTATGTTTTCAGCACTGGGAAAAAATGGAGACAACGAAGAAAGATTCTGACACCGACCTTCCATTTTTCCATCCTGACTGACTTTTTGCAAGTAATGAACGAACAGGCAGAAATTCTGGTGGAAAAGCTGGAGAAGAAAGCGGGAAAAGGTTCTTTCAACTGCTTCAATGACATCACCCTATGTGCACTGGATATTATCTGCGGTGAGTAGATGAAGCATTTAATAATTGAATAAGCAATCAAATAATGGTATCTAACAAATCATAAGATCAAGAGTAACTAATTTCCCGTATAACATTGTCAGCTTTTGGAGGTACAAACACCTTAAGTATAGATGTCTCTCTTTATTAAGTCAGAGGACCTGAAAATACTTTACAAATACACTTTGCAGCCCTTTGCAGACACATTTACCCAACAACATGTTTATAGTAGTCTGATTTGAAATAGGCATCTTCACACAGGTTTTAAAATCTTATCTTTATATTCAATATCAAATAATACTATCATGAAATAACAGCTAACAATGCATTGTTTTTAATATTCTGAAGATATAATTTTTGTCTATGAATACTATTACACTTATAATTGATAATTCCATCCATCTATTTTCCATCACGCTTATCCCAACTGGGGTTGCGAGGGGTTCTGGTGTCTATCTCCAGCGATCTACGGGTGAGAGGAACACAGGGGGTACACATGTTGCCAGTCTATCGCAGTGCAAAACAGAGAGAAACAAACCATTCACACACACACACACTCACACCTAAGGAGGCTTCTCTAAATTCAAGACAGTCATGTTCTTGGACTCTGGGAGGAAGCCAGAGTACCTGGAGAGAACCCATGCATGCACAGGGAGAAAATGCAAACTTCATACACATCCCCAGGCTGGGAATTGAACCCAGAACCTTCTTGCTGTAAGGTAGCAGTGCTACCAGCTGCGCCAATTACCAGCCATTGATGGATAAATATAGTTATTGAATTATCCTTGCAATTAAGATCATTACACAATTAAAATATATTTAAGATGACTGTAAACTTTTAACTGGTATCAGACTTTAATAAGTGAACACTTTTAATTATCAAGTAACAATTATTAACTTATTTTATCAATGAATGTAGTCATTTAAAGCAGTTGTGACTCTTAGTTTGAATTATGCTCTAGTAAATGTGGCCAATTACATTTAATACTATAATAATATTTCTAACTAAGCCACTGCTTAGGCACAAAAGTAACAAATAAAAAAATGGGTTTTACTTTAGTTGCACCCTCCTTGGAGGTGCAGTGGAGAGTGGGTAATAGCAGGCAGTGCACCACTGGGATCTAGGTGATGTGCTGATATCCTGTATTAATTAAACACTCCCAGGTTCCTTAATTTGTCTTTGCACTATTTTCAGGTAAAATTATGTTGAATAGTTTTGTAGAACATTTTTATTTTAATCTATTACTATTTTTTTTATATATATATATATATATATGTTTAGCGTTCATATACTGCTTAGTTATATTTTTCAATTCTATTCAAATAAAGTAAAGATATGTGTGTGTGACTTAGTGTGGTGCTGATATGTTGTAACATATCTCTATGTCTAAAACGTCTTTGCTCTTTGTTTAGAAACTGCAATGGGAAGAAAGATTTACGCACAGAGTGATTCTGAATCTGAGTATGTTAAGTGTGTATACAGGTATGCTTTTTGTTTCCTTTCAAAAAATGATATATTCAGCTGAATAATATCCGTTTAGAGGGTTGAGCATCATCTTTTACCCCCAGGATGAGTGATATTGTCAGCCTGAGACAAAGGACACCTTGGTTTTGGCCTGATTTTATTTACTACTTCTTTGGTGAGGGTAAGAAGCATGACAAGACACTGAAGACCCTCCATTCTTTTACGTATAAAGTGAGTTAGCCCGGTGTAAGTGGGTAGTTTAAAATAAGATGCATTTTTTAATTCATTCATGCAGAAATTGGACACTCCAACAGAAACCATAACAATCTCTATGTGCAGGTGATAAAGGAAAGGTCTGAAAACTTGTCCTACATTGAATCAGACAGCGACTCTGACTATTTCAAGAAGAAGCGACAGGCCTTTCTAGACATGCTCCTGAAGACCACAGATGAAGATGGAAACAAGTTGACCCATCAGGACATTCAAGAGGAAGTGGACACCTTTATGTTTGAGGTTGGTGGTTAGACTTATAGGTAAAAAAAAAAGGTTTGTTACAGAAGACATACACATCCTACACATCTGGAAATGCATTTAACTCTAACTAACCAGTAGTCTAGTTGTAAAAAAAAAACACAAAAAAAAAAAGGGGGGGAGGGGGGTTTTTTTTTTTTTTTTTAAAAAAAAAAACAATTTTTAAAAAAAAAAAAAAAAAAAAACAGAGGGGGGGGGGGTGGATGATTTCTTTTTTTTTGAGCATTCATAGCCTATTTAATATAAACCTAAAGCAATAAGCATGGTGTGGTTGTTACATGTCAGGTATGCCGGTCATTGACTTTGACCAAGGCACCTTACAGTAGAACTGCAGTCGGTCCCTGGACTGGCATGGCTATCACTGCCCTACACAGTTAGGGACAAATATCCCACTGGGATCATCTTCATAGTCATGGCAGGCCACTTCTTTGATTTTATTTATTTTGCTCAGTCTACTCGTAATCCCTCACCCCGCCAAATGTTGAAAGGACAATATTGATGCCATTACTGTTAATATATAGTAGAAATTTTATAAATTCCGTAATAAAATATCACAGGGGATGGTATGGGGGGATGGTAATTTAGGAGTGGGGGAAAATTTTTAAGACTTTTTTAAGAAGGGGGATGCCATCCCCCCTATCCCCCTCAACTCGACTACTGATTACCAACACAGCTCAACAGCATTGAATTAACAGTTCAACTAAAAGAAAAAAAATAACCTACACAGCTGGAAATTCATTATACTATTTCCTTTTTTCAGGGTCATGACACCACGGCTGCCTCCATGAACTGGGCCCTCCATCTGATTGGAAGCCATCCAGAGGTGCAACGAAAAGTTCAGCAAGAGCTGCAGGAAGTGTTTGGTAACATTGACATGGCTCATCCTTCTCTTCTTCGTTTAATAGCTTGATTAATATTCCAGTCCAAAGGGTTTTTACTCATCTTTATTCAGACTCTTTTGCCCTCTCATAAGTTTGACAGCTATAAAAAACCCTTTGTTTATATTTATTTAGTTCTTCTCATAAAACAAACAAACAAATTTCACAGTTATCTGTAATAATGTACAATGCTTTCATGCAAATTTTCTTCAGTTAAGGAAAGTAAACCTTTGAGGTACTGTGAATGCAAATGTTGTATCAACTCAATGAACTAAATATGCCCTGAAGAACACAAGGCTTTATTATGCTATAATTATTTCCTGTGCACTAAAGTTTCATTTTCATTCCAGTCTATAGGCGCGCAGTGCTTGTAGAAACATGCTTCAGAAGACTGCCAGCTGAAGTTCTAGTGCTAGTACAAAGAACTAACTGGGAATGATGGTGGTGATAGTGGGTGGCTGTAAAGGAAAGAAAATTTAGGCTCCAAAATCAAATTTGAAATTGACTAATTGATTACGTGTCATTAAACAAAAACACAGCAGGAAGTTTCTTTCCCTGCTGACCTTAACAAGGCAATTGAGTTTGTTATATGGGCATTAAAAGAAGCAAAAATAATCACTGTATCAGTATGACAGTTTAAAGCTTATAATACACCCAAGGTTATGTAGTGTGGATGTGTATTTTTAAAAAAAGCATTTACTACTCTTTCCTATTTCTTGATTACTGTGCAAAGGTGCATCAGGCCGACCCATTAACACAGAGGACCTAAAGAAACTAAAATACCTGGAATGTGTCATTAAAGAAGCTCTGCGGCTGTTTCCCTCTGTGCCCTTCTTCGCCCGAAGCCTCTGTGACGACTGCAATATTAGTAAGTTACACAAGATAAGTAACCTTACAGTAACCCCCGTAACAAGTATTCTTATTTGCAACTGTGTTAGCTGGCATTGGGTCACTTTATCATTTACCAATTCAATAAAGAAATATAAATAATAATTTTACTTTTAAGCCTATCTAAGTGGACTAAAGGTAAAAAAAGGGATCTAAGTGCCTTTTTTGTCAGCTGTCTTCATCACAACAGAGTTGCAGTGAATTGTGGCAGCAGCAGCCGCACCCATCTGTGTATCGATCTCTCTGCCTTCTCCCATCCTAATGTGCAGGACGCCAAGATACTTAAACTCCTCCACTTTAAGCAGCAGAACCACATCATATGCAAAAAGCAGGGAGAATATTCGTCCACAAACCAGACTCACTTGGGTTACCTTGGCTGCACCTAGAAATCCGACTTCATGGCGGCAATGCTGACCAACCTTCTGCTCCATTTGTACAGGGACTGGATGGCCCCCAGCAAAGAGGCCCTAACTTTATTCTATTTTTATTTCCTATTATTCACTCTAAACACACTATCACTGTGAAATAAACCTGATACAGGATACATAGCAAAGGAGTTAACATTATTTAATAATTTATAATTTAAATTAGATATTATATTTTGCTATTAAAAGCTTTCTTTTAGATAAATAATCCTATAATTTCAGAATTTTAGCAGCTTTAAACAAAAATAGTCACAGAATCCCGACCTAGAATCTGTAGTTATGAACTTTCTACATGAGTGTTCCCCTTTATATTCAGTTTGTTCAGCCACATATTCCACGAGGTGCGTTAGGCTAACAGGCAAATATGCATGAAATAAGCAGAAAGTCCTATGTAGCCTACAAAATCCTGGCTTGTAGATGCATTTTTCCTGAATAAAACAGGCACCCATTGAATTATGTTAAAAGCTGCTTCCTCTTCAGTTTGGTAGACCATATTTACTCCACTGGAAAATCAGTTAAACTAATCACTCTTTTGGATCCAAATCTATCTCGTAATAGAGATAAATTTGCAATGCAGCGTAAAAATCTGAAACAATTAGGGACAGCTGCTGATTTAAAGGTGAAACAGATTTACTGGGATATTAAACATGCAATAAATGATATCCCCAAGTTTTTAAGAAACAATACACTATGCTATAATAAAATTCAACATATCTGTTTGTCTTTTGTAGCTCAACAAGACTCAGAAATAGCTGCACCAGCCAACCCAGAGACAGCCAGACTCACAGGACACTGACTTAAGATTAAAATATAAGAAACCTACAAGAATTAAAGCACAAATTATAAAAATCAGTGTATAAATGTTTTTTGAAACATAAGGTTCGATTTATAAACTTTGGCTGTCAATGACATATGGGACAAATTTCTAAATTAGATTTTACTGCATGTGAAGGAGAATATTCACTGATATAGCTTAAAGGGAAGCCAGGCATTGATGGATTGATTGAAGTGAAGTTGTGTCCGTACTAGGGATGCATGATATATTGATGTTGGCATTGGTATCGGCTGTTATTCCTCATTTTTTATACATTAATGTTTTTGAGCCCTTTATAAAATAATGCACTAAAGGCAGGCATCTGTCTATAACTATAAATATCAGTGTATTGTGGTTCTCTTTTGTTCTCAACAATAGGAAAGCATTCAATAAATATATGTTTGAGCTAATTTTTGGAAAATATAAACCCTATTGAAAGCATTTGGGTTGAATAGCTGTAGGTCCATCAGCCACTATCCTTAGAGCGTTCACACCAACATTTATAGCAAAGTTACACCCTTGCGCCAAGCATTTCCACTATACTACTGGACGGCCTACCTACCTAACTTTCTTGGTCTTCTGCTGGCAAAACTCTCTCATTCAACGGCTCTGGGATTTCTTTCTTTGAGGTATAATATGATTGGCTGGGGAAATTTACTGGGTATGTAGTAACCATGTTATTCGAAGAGGGACAACAACGCTGAATGAAATTGAGCTGGCAGCTACTTTGTGTTTTAATTGGAATTAAAAGATAGAGGACGGGTTGGTTAAAGAGAGGGAAGGGATCGAAAAAGCTGTTACACATACAGAACATTTTCAGCAAATGAACTTTAACAGAGTAAGTTTATACTTAGCAAGTTAGAATCATAATACAGTGGATTTGTCAAAATATTGCATCTTAATGTTGTGTTCTTCTTTACCAGTTAAACAAAAAGCTATACAGCTCGGTTCCTCAGAGTTACACGTAAGAATTTATTAAAATGTAATTTTCTTATTGAAAAGAAATATATCAGACTGCAGAGGTTCTAGATATCCCCACATGAAAAATATTTCCTAAATTTAAAAATTATGCTGTGGTGATGGTAACTTAGTTTCTTTAGCATCATTATATTAGTAGACATCTTCATGTTATGTTTTCAGCAGAGCACAGACACAGAAGCAGAGACGGCTGCAGAGTTAAGGATGAAACAGACTGACTGGGATATGTAACATGCAGTAAGAGCTGTCTCAGAAATATTTTACAAGAAAATGTGATGCTATACTAAAAATGGCTCAGATCTTTTTGTCTTTTTAAACTCAACAAGACTCAGAAATAGTTGTACCAGTTAACTCAGGGAGCTGCAGAGTCAGACTCAGGTGAGGCAGAAACCTACGATAATCAAAGCAAAAACAATACAGAAGTGAGGAATGCTCTGATCTTTATATTTGAGAAACCAAGCAACCTCTTCACAGACGCATGGCCCAACACAGAAGAGCGCCCTCCTCTGGACAAAACTCCGCACTACATCTACACATTGTGGACAAAGGACATTCAATTGAGGACCAGAATGTTCACATTCTGGATAAAAAAAATAGGTGGTTTGAGAGGGGCGTGAAGGAAGCCATCTATGTGAAGAGAGAAAAAACAACTTTAAACAGAGGTGGTGGACTCAGATTCCAGCTTCCAAAAACTTACAATTCAGTTATAGAGCTGATCCCTTCCAGATATCACCACACCCCATCACAGAGGAACAAAGTACCTACCCTCTCCAGCCGGTGAACAATGCCTCCTTAACGACCGACCCTTAACAATCATAAACATGTTTCAGGTATTACAGGAGACAATCTCTCCCTTTAACGACAATCCCACCCTTTAACGACCGACCTTCAGAATCATAGACAGGTTTCAGATATTACAGGCTAACAATGAAACCAAACGACCCACTCATCGGTTTCCATTTGCATGTTTCCAAGCAATATAAGGTCTTGTCTATATAAAGAACTCACAGCGGATCCAGACATTAATTGAAAAGCTTCCTGGAGAGGTAGTGAAACGTCTTCAAATCTTGGAAACCAAGTCCAGTGGATTGTTTTTTAAACTTTTACAGAAAAACAATATAGAAAAAAAAATCTATATATCCGTACATCACCACTGGCATTGGTAATGATTGTTATTAGTCATTTTTTAAATATATTTTTGTCTTTATTAGTGCTGCTGAGGCTTTCAAGCATTTTATAAATGAGCCACTGAAAGGTAGCTGTCTACCTACTGTATCTATAAATATAAATATTAGTCCATTTTGTAACTGTTGCATTCTCAACAGTAGGAGAGCATTGAAAAATGTATGGCATTTACATATTTGTCAGGACACACTATTAACCCTGTACAAAAACACAAGGTCCTTTGGGTTCTATAACTGTAGGAGCATCAGCCCCCAAACTTATAGAGTGTCCCTACCAGCTTTAGTCACAAAGTGACACCCTTGGTTTCAAGCTTATGTTTTGGGTGGTTTGTGAAGTTATTTGCTTCCTTAGATATAAAATAGATCCCTGATAAATAATCTCTGTCCTGAGGGCTGTTATATTTGTTTTCTGAAATCAAAAACTTTTTTTTAAAGAATATGTAATATATGTCCAATAATTCAGTCCAGGTTTGAATGGTTTATATCGTATTGAGCTTATTATACTGAATAATTATCAATTGGCTTGAGAAAAAGAACAACCCAAAAATTAAAACGGATTCTTCTATAATAATTTTTTTATGGAACAGACATTTGTTTAGTGTCCAGTTCTACCCTGATCACTGTATTTTTTTTTTCAAGTTTTCAATAAAAAAAAAAGTTGGCAATACCTTTTTAGTAAGGCAAAATTGATAAGCATAAAATAATGCAAAATTTAGCATTGCTAACTGAGCAGGTTATCAAGCAGTGCTTATAAAATACTTTGTTTCATCAGAATAAGAGCCACAAACATACACTGTATGTTTTCAAGCTAAACACAGTGATATTCGTACTATAACCCTTCAACTTTTACCTGCTTCATTGGTCTAATTCTGAAATAGACAGCAGGTGCTTTACTTCAGCAGGAAATAATTTGGAGTTTTAACATTATGAAATCTTCTTATACATTTAATAATCCGTAAATGTAATTGAGTTTTGCTTTTACTCTAGATGGTTTCAACGTCCCCAAAGGAGCGAATGCGATCATCATTACATACACTCTTCACCGTGATCCACGATACTTTCCAGAACCAGAGGAATTCCGGCCCGAGCGTTTTTTTCCTGAGAATTCAGTTGGAAGGCCCCCGTATGCATATGTCCCTTTCTCTGCTGGACTCCGCAACTGCATAGGTGGGAAAAGGAAATTCTGGGGTTCAATTAATCCACATGAATACTTTATTAGAGTCATATGTGTTGTTTCAGGTCAGCGTTTTGCACTGATGGAAGAAAAAGTGGTTTTGGCGTCCATTCTGCGTAACTTCAATGTCGAGGCCTGTCAGAAACGTGAGGAAATTCGCAGAGTGGGGGACCTCATCCTGCGACCAGAGCAGGGCATTTGGATCAAACTGGAAAAGAGAGAACCACTTGCTCCATAAAATCAGCATTGGCTCAATAATTACATTTCATTCATTCATAGTTTTTGTTTTTTCAATTTTAGATAATTCAAATAGCTGAAAATGTATCAAAAGTATTACGAAAATCACAACTAGTGGAATACAAATAGCATTACTGGGTAATTTAGCATATCTGCCTCTCATAGTATGATAATCTAAAAAAAACTGCTTCGATTGCTTAAAATACATTTCTTTTGTATATTTCTGCATTTTGTGACTGCTACTGCTAATGGAATATGTGAGACTTCTAGTTATTTCATGTTGAACAAGCATTTCTTGTAATTTTGTTTGAAAATGTCTTGCATTACCAAATGTTTAAGATACAGACATGTCACAGGTGGAACTATTTCTGAGTATTATTGGTCTGGTTTCCAGCCCTCACGTAATGCTGCATTATTACTTTTAGATAATACTTAATAATTCTTAATCAGTTGTGCAGAATTCAGTGATGATTGGGCTGGAACAGTAGAGCAATAAGCATTAGGAAGAAACTAAAAAAACTAAAATCTGTCACAGACTCGTATAGTTTCCTCTACATAAACAGAGAAAACCTTAAAAATATGAAACATATATATATATACGTGTATATATATATATATAGCTAACAGCTCCTCTGTTAGCCATCCCGTCATGCACAGATCAGATGCCAGTCAGTTGGGTTTTTAAGAAAAAGATTTTTGTAATGAATGGTAGAGAAAAACAAATACTCTGGTTAGCCTCCCCTCTTCACCAATAGCACAGCTGGGGGCCGAATAGATTCTGTGGAATTGTCAGCCGTTCCCTAGTATTTATAGGCCAACCAGTAGGGGGCGCCAAAAACCACTCATCACAAATAACTATAAAACATATTTTAATAGAATTTAATCGACATCTTCTAATACCCATTACATACATAATGCACTAAAAGCATCTCTCTAACATCTTTAAACATAAATATCAGTGTATTGTGGTTCCTTGTGTTCTCAACAACAGGAAAGAATTCAATTTTAGAAAATAGAAAAACCTGATGAAAGCATTCAGGTGGAGTAACTGTAGGTCCATCTGCCCCCACCCTCAGAACCCCCCCACCCTACACCTTTGCTACAGAGGAACCTTCTGCTCCACATCTGCAGCCCAGGGGCCCATATTCTCCCACATCCGGCCCTGCTGATAATAACAG